TGATCGTTGTGTCCTACGGACACAGCTGATCACGTGATGTGGTAAAAGGCCAATCACAGAGGCCTTTTACCACGTGATCAGCCATGTCCAATGACACGCTGATCACAGGGAAATGCAATTGCCGGTTCTCGGCTGCACTTTCCTCACGCTGTCAGATTTCGGCAGTTGTTAGAGCAGGGATTGGCACCGATCATCAGGGCAGTGATGATCAATGCCCTGATGATCGGTGCCCAGCAGTGCCACCCACCAGTTCCGCCTACTTGTGCCCAGCAGTGCATCCACCTGTGCCCAGCAGTGCCACACACCTGTGCCCAGCAGTGCCATCCAGAAGTGCCACCTACCTCTGCTCAGCAGTGCCACCCACCTGTGCCCACCCACCAGTGCCCACCAGAGCCCATCAGTGCAGCCCAGCAGTGCTGCCAGTCAGTGCCCAGCGGTTGTGCCAGCCAGTGCCCAGCAGTTGCGCCAGTCAATGCCTAACCGTGCCACCAGCCAATACCTAGCAGTGCCACCAGTCAGTGCCCAGCAGTGATGCCAGTCAGTGCCAACTATCAGTGCTGTCTATCAGCACCCATCATCAGTGCCGCCTATCCGTGCCACCTCACTAGTGCTGCCTATCAGTGCCGCCTATCAGTGCTGCCTATCAGTGCCCATTAGAGCTGCCTATCAGTGCCCATCAGTGCTGCCTCATCAACGCACATCAGTGAAGGAGAAAAATTACCTGTTTGCAAAATTTTCTAATAGAAACAAAGAAACTTTTTTTTTTCTCTAATTTTTTGCACATTTTTTTGTTTATAGCGCAAAAAGTAAAACACCCAGCGATGAGTAAATACCACCAAATGAAAGCTGTATTTGTGAGAAAAAAATTATAAAAATTTCATATGGGTACAATCTTGCATAACCGTGCAATTGTCAAAGTGCGACAGTGCTGAAAGCTGAAAATTGGCCTGGTAAAGAAGGGGGTATAAGTGCCCTGTAGACATGTGGTTAAATTACACTAAAATATGATTCTAGCACAAAGCATTGCAAAGTTATTTACAAATTAAATAAAGGCTTTTTTTTTTCAATTATGTGGGTGGTTTTTTTAAATTTTTTTTATTAAACACAATGGAAAAAAAAGTTTAATTATTATTGCCTGCAAACATTGGTGAAAAATTTAAAAATGATCAGAAAATTAATAGTTAAAGGGAGAAGCTGTAGAATTAGGGCTTATTAGGGCCAGTTCCTCCCCCCCAGCCCCCCTAATACTTACCTGAGCCCCATCACGATCCAACGATAAGCACGAGAACCTCGGCTGTCCCGGGTCTTTGTTTCCTCATTGGCTGAAACAGCAGTGGGAGCCAATGGCAATGTCAATCACAGCCAGTGAGCTTATGAGGAGACAGAGGGGGCAGGGCCGCATGTGAATGGACACACAGAGCAGCAGCTCGGGCTGTTTGCTATGGGCACTCGACAGGAAGGAGGAGCCAGGAGCGCTGGCAGGGGACCCAAGAAGAGGAAGATCCAGGCTGCCCTGTGCAAAACACTTTAATAAAGATTTTAAAAGGAGCAAAGTAAAAATATATATATATATATATATATATATATATATTTTTTTTTTTTTTTTTTGGACAGGTGCTTTAACTGATATCATATGCAGATCAACGCTCAGCCCCTTTATCTGCAGAATAATAAAATAGAGTAGATAAATGAAACACGAAGTACTGTCCCATATGACTTATTTTCTGTCACCAGCAGCTACTACAGCTACTGTGTTTACGCAGCGTTTCCTGGCTGTCATCGGGCATTGCCAGCAAGTGTAAGGGGGAAGCAGCGGTGGGGCAGACAGACAGGGCATATTACACATACCATGTGTACTTGATGAAGTTTTTTGGGAGCGTGTAGCATGCTCTATGTCCACAACTGGTTAAGGGCATACTTTGTGGGTTAAAATTATTAAAAGTTTATAAGCTTGCCTCAAACAAAGGCTTTATATTGTAAAGAACAACTCTGGTCAACAGGCACCAAGCATGATGTAACACAGAGGATGGCATCAGGAATGGGGCATTGCTGCTGTAGGACATCATTGTTACATAATGCTTGGTACCTCTTGACCTGGCAATGACTGTAGGCCATTATTCTTGGCACCCAATGATCTGTCAGCTGGGGGATGGCATCAGGAATGAAGCACTGCTTCCGGAGGGCATCACTGTGCTATGTCATGTCTGGCACCTAATGACCAAGGGATGGCATTTGGAATGGGGCACTGCTGCTGGAGGACTTGTGTTATATTATGCTTGGCACCCAATGATCTGTCAGCTGAGGATGGCTTCATGAATGGAGGACATCACTGTGTTACACCAGGCTTGGCACCAGGGGCGGACTGACAACTCATGGGGCCCCCAGGCAATAGGGGACCATGGGGCCCCTGTGTCCTTGCCCACACTCAAAGCACACTCAAAAAAGCCTATAAAAAGGTAACAGGCATTTCATGGGGCCCCCTACTGATCCCGGGCCCTCGGGCAGTGCCTGAGTGCTCGAATGGTCAGTCCGCCCCTGCTTGGCACCCAATGACCAAGGGATGGCATCAGAAATGGTGCACTGCTTCTGGAGGGCATCACTGCATTACCTCATGCTTGACACCAAACGACCAAGGGAAAGAATCAGGAATTAAGTACTGCGCTTCTAAAGGACATCACTGTGCTACATCATGCTTGGCACCTGACGTCATCGAGAATGGGGCACTACTGCATCAGGAATGGGGCACTGCATAACGTCATGCTTGGGGCCCAATGACCAAGGGAAGGCATGAGGAAAGGAGCACTGCTTCTGGAGGACATCACTCCATTACATCATGCTTGGGTCCCAATGACCAAGGGAAGGCATCAGGAATGGGGCACTGCTGCTGAAGGACATCAATGCATTACATCATACTTGGCACCCAATGACCAAGGGAAGGCATCAGTAATGAGGCACTGCTGCTGCAGGACATCTATGCATTACATCATACTTGGCTCCCAATGACCAAGGGAAGGCATCAGGAATGAGGCACTGCTGCTGCAGGACATCACTGCGTTACATTATGCTTGCACCATTATGCAGCAGCAGTGCCTCATTCCTGATGCCTTCCCTTGGTCATTGGGCGCCAAGTATGATGTAATGCATTGATGTCCTTATCAATTGCAATGCTGGATATTCAAATAAATAATATTATTTTACAATTTATAGCAAAGCCTCCTATAATCATGGTACACTATTCAATGTATAAAACATGCTAGGTCAGTTGTATAATGAGGTCGCGGCACTACTGATTTCTTAATACTGTAGCATAAGGTTAACAGGCACCCTGTTAATATTATTTATTTGAATATCCAGCATTGCAATTGATAATTTCCTAAGCACATATGCAGCCAGCAAGAGGACCTCTCTGCTTCTTTTCACTTGCCTTACAGGCTTCACCTAGTGTCTGTGTTGTAAAACACCTCATAGAAAGCTCTAGATAGTACAAGCTGAAATTTACACACACAAGCTAATGAGTCTGTGGAATGACCTATCATATACTGGTATCTCTTTCTTATGTAACTGGGCAAAGTTCAATTTGAGACAAAGTCTGCAAGGAAAGCTCCCTCTGGAAAACCCATAATAATAACAATGTATCATGACTGCCGTATATATAAAATGTATTAGGCAAAAAAAATATATTTAGTCAAAAAAATATAAATTGCTTTACATATTCATGGAGCACTCCAGCAAATATGGCCCTCGCTACCACCACTGACTGACTTATCATGACCCCACTACAATCAGCCATCCAGTGCCAGCAGAGATCAGTGATTTGGTGTACTGACACTTAGGTTATGCTGACAAGGAGTAGGGTGGGTGACAGTAGCACCTGTCAATCATGATGTTATAGAAACCAATAAGTTTCCATGTTTTATTGGCAAAGTTTAATTGAACAAGCTGAAATTAAAAGCAGATTCTGAATGGTGCAGTCTTAGTAAATCTCCCCCATCAGAGTCGCCCATGTGTCATCAGCCTTACCAGCAAAAAAGCCCAACAAATTACTCTAACAATGTGCGTTAAAAACATATTTTAGTTGCACATTTGCAAATATACAGTATCTCACAGTAGTAAGTACACCCTCACATTTTTGTAAATATTTTATTATATCTTTTCATGTGACAACACTGAAGAAATGACACTTTAATACAATGTGACGTAGTGAGTGTACAGCTTGTATAACAGTGTAAATTTGCTGTCCCCTCAATATAACTCAACACACAGCCATTAATGTCTAAATCGCTGGCAACAAAAGTGAGTCCAATTGGGCCCAAAGTGTCAATATTTTGTGTGGCCACCATTATTTTCCAGCACTGCCTTAACCCTTTTGGGCATGGAGTTCACCAGAGCTTCACAGGTTGCCACTGGAAGAGTCCCATTCCACTCTTCCATGATGACATCACAGAGCTGGTGGATTTTGGAGACCTTGCGCTCTTCCACCTTCTGTTTGAGGATGCCCCACAGATGCTCAATAGGGTTTAGGTCTGGAGACATGCTTGGCCAGTCCATCACCTTTACCCTCAGCTTCTTTAGCAAGGCAGTGGTCGTCTTGGAGGTGTGTTTGGGGTCGTTATCATGTTGGAATACTGCCCTGTGGCCCAGTCTCCAAAGGGAGGGGATCATGCTCTGCTTTAGTATGTCACAGTACATGTTGGCACTCATGGTTCCCTCAATGAACTGTAGCTCCCCAGTGCTGGCAGCATTCATGCAGCCCCAGACCATGACACTCCCCACCACCATGCTTGACTGTAGGCAAGACACACTTGTCTTTGTACTCCTCACCTGGTTGCCGCTATACACGATTGACACCATCTGAACCAAATCAGTTGATCTTGGTGTCATCAGACCACAAGACATGGTTCCAATAATCCATGTCCTTAGTCTGCTTGTCTTGAGCAAACTGTTTGCGGGCTTTCTTGTGCATCATCTTTAGAAGAGGCTTCCTTCTGGGACGACAGCCATGTAGACCAATTTGATGCAGTCTGAGCACTGACAGGCTGACCCCCCACCCCTTCAACCTCTGCAGCAATGCTGGCAGCACTCATACGTCTGTTTCTCAAAGACAACCTCTGGATGTGACGCTGAGCATGTGCACTCATCTTCTTTGGTTGACCATGGCGAGGCCTGTTCTACGTGAAACCTGTCCTGTTAAACCGCTGTATGGTCTTGGCCACCATGCTGCAGCTCAGTTTCAGGGTCTTGGCAATCTTCTTACAGCCTAGGCCAGTGATGGCGAACTGCTGGCACGCAGAGCCATCTCAGTGGGCACACCAGGAAGAAGAGGAAGATGAGCGCACACGGACCATGCACACTGACCGGCCATCCAGATCTCGTCCACACTGGACCCCCATCAAACTACATCTCCCACATGTCTCTGGGGCCAGGGTGGGTGTGGCCGAGAGAAAACGGCTCCTATGCGGATCTGGCACCAGGGGTGATGTAGCCGGGGATGGGCGTGGAAGAGAGGAAGAGGCTCCCACACTGCTCCGGGGCCAGGGGTGATGTGTTCAGCGTGGATGGGAATGAACTGCTGGGTTGGAAGCCACACCGACACTGCCAGAGGTGAGATTAACTGCTTGCAGTGTCATCCATCAGTGCCCAGAAGTGTCACCCATCAGTGCCCAGCAGTGTCGCCTGTCAGTGCTGCCCAGCAGTGCCACCTGTCAGTGCTGCCCAGCAGTGCCACCTGTCAGTGCCCAGCAGTGTCGCCCATCAGTGCCACCCATCAATGATGCCCAGCCGTCTGTCAGTGCCTCCAGTTGGTGCTATCAGTCAGTGCCACTTATCAGTGCCCATCATTGCTGCATATCAGTGCATCATCAGTGCCTCCTCATCAATGCTCACCAGTGCCACCTCATCAGTGCTACCTATCTGTGCCGCCTCATCAATGCCCATCAGTGCTGCCTATTAGTGCAGCCTCACCAACACACATCAAAGAAGAAATATTACCTGTTTGCCAAATTTTGTAATAGAAGCAAAGAAAACCTTTTATGTTTTTAATTTTTTGCTCTTTTTTCATTTATAGTGCAAAAAATAAAACACCCAGTGGTGATTAAATACCACCAAAAAAAGCTCTATTTGTGTGAAAAAATGAGTGTTGCATGACCGCACAATTGTCATTGTCAAGTGCAACAGCACTGAAAGCTGAAAATTGGTCTGGGCAGGAAGGGGGTAGAAGTGCCCGGTAGACAAGTGGTTAATTGCAGTGTTGGCACTTTGACATAAAAAAGTTGGTTTTGTGTTGCAGTTTTGGGCACTCGGGCTCAAAAAGGTTCGCCATCACTGGCCTAGGCCATCTTTATGTAGAGCAACAATTCTTTTTTTTTACGGTGATAACATCAAATTTAACACACCTGCTCCCCATTCAGACCTGAGACCTTGTAACACTAACGAGTCACATGACACCGAGGAGGGAAAATGGCTAATTGGGCCCAATTTGGACATTTTCACTTAGGGATGTACTCACTTTTTTTTGCCTGCAGTTTAAACATTAATGGCTGTGTGTTGAGTTATTTTGAGGGGACAGCAAATTTACACTGTTATACAAGCTGTACACTCACTACCTTACATTGTAGCAAAGTGTCATTTCTTCAGTGTTGTCACATGAAAAGATATAATAAAATATTTACAAAAATGTGAGGGGTGTACTCACTTCTGTGAGATACTGTATGTGTATGCATGAATGTGGGTTAGGGACCTTAGAATGTAAGCTCCTTGAGGGGCAAGTACTGTTATGAATATACTGAAAAATTAGAACAATGATGAGTGGTTGACCATCAACATATTGCACCACATCCCCATTAGAATTAAACCAAGAAAAGCAAATTATGGGATTTTCGAAGGTGCATAAAAATAAACAAACAGATTCGTTTTTTTTTAATTTTTTTTTTTCAATTTATTACAATCAAATTATATTGGGTACAAGTAGGTACAATAAATCTTGACAATCATAACATGCTTGACTGTTTTCTGCGGCATATAGATGGTGCTTCCCTGCATGTTTCGCCCAACCTGGGCTTCCTTAGGGGAAGAGATAAGTTATCCGTAGTACAGTCCTTAGGACCACGCTGCCAATATCATTCTTTAAAACAGTGATACACATACGTTGAAACTAAGGCCCAGGCGTCATTGCAATTGCAGAAGGAACATAAAGGACCGAATGATAGGTAGGGAGGATCATCAACACCAAAGCAGCACCACTAGATGTCAGAGACCTCCCCCACATCAAAAATCCACAGACATTAGATCTGAAGCACAGCCTCAATATTCAGGCATCACCTCTGCGGCCTTAACTACTTCCCCTCCTGAGGATTTACCCCCCTTCCTGGCCAGGCCTTTTTTTGCTCTTCGGCGCTGCACTATTTCAACTGGTAATTGCGTGATCATACAATGCTGTACCCAAACGAAATTTATGTCCTTTTTTTTCCACACAAATAGAGCTTTCTTTCAGTGGTATTTGGTCACCTGTGTGCCTTTTATGTTTTGTGCTATAAACAAAAAAAATAAAAGACTGAAAATGCTGAAAAAAAAATATTTTTTACTTTCGGCTATAAAAAATATATAGTAAAAAAAGTTAGTCATAAATTTAGACCAAAATGTATTCTGCTACATATTTTTGGTAAAAAATCCCAATAAGTGTATGTTGATTTCTTTGTGTGAAAGTTATAGCATCTACAAACTATGGTATAGATACTGCAATTTACGCCATTTTTTTGCTATACAACGCTGCTCTAGTTTAACCACTTGCTTACTGGGCACTTATACCCCCCTTCCTGCCCAGGCCAATTTCCAGCTTTCAGCACTTTGAATGACAATTGCGCGGTCATGCAACATTGTACCCATATGAAATTTTTATCATTTTTTTCACACATATAGAGCTTTCTTTTGGTGGTATTTACTCGCTGCTGGGTGTTTTATTTTTTTGCACTATTAACAAAAAAGATTTTCTTTGTTTCTATTATAAAATTTAGCAAACAGGTAATTTTTCTCTTTCACTGATGTGCGTTGATGAGGCTACACTGATAGACGGTACTGATAGGCGGCACTAATGAGCTGGCACTAATGAAGCGGCACTGAAGATGCTGCACTGATATACAACAATGATGGGCACTGATAGGCGGCACTAATGGGCACTGATAGGCAGTACTGACTGGCGGCACTGCTGGGTGGCACTGTTGGACGGCACTGATGGGCACTGGTTGGTGGCAGTACTAGGCACTGATGGGCATTTGTGGACAGCACTGCTGGGCACTGGTGGGTGGCACTGATCATCAGGGCACAGATCATCAGTACCCTGATGATTGGTGCCGATCCTTCCTCTGACAATTGCCGGTTATCGGCAGTACTTTCCTCACGCTGTGATAGCGTGAGGAAAGTGCAGCCGATAAACGGCTACTGCATTTACCGGTGATATGCTGTGTGATTGGATACGGCTGATCACGTGGTAAAAGGCAGCTGTGATTGGCCTTTTTACCACATCACGCGTTGAGCTGTGTCCGTAGGACACAGCGATCATGGAGATCTCCGGGGGCTGCGCGGGAGGGCGCGTTCTGGGAGGACGTCATATGACGCCCTCCTAGAACTAGCCGGCCGCAGTGAAGCCATCATTTGGCTATCTGCGGTCGGCAAGTTGTTAACTGACAATTGCGCGGTCATGCAAAGCTGTACCCATACTACAAACTATGGTATAGATCATGGAATTTACACAGCTTTTACTTTCTGGCTGCCTATCACATTTCTTGAGGTGCTAAAATACCAGGACAGTACAAACACCCCCAAATGACCCCTTTTCAGAAAGTAAACACCCTAAGCTATCTGCTGAGAGGCATATTGACTCCATGGAAGAGTTATTTTTTTCCCACAAGTTTTTGGAAAATGGCAAAACAAATTTTTTTTTTTTTTACACAAATTTGTCACTTAAATTATATATTGCTCACACAATCCATGGGTATATTTGGAATTACACCCCAAAATACATTCTGCTACTTCTACCAAGTATGTGTGAGACTTTTTGGGAGCCTAGCCACATACAAGAGCCTGAAATCCAATGACCACTTTGAAAGCTTGAAGATGCGTAACTTCCTCATTTCACTTCCTCACTACCTATCACAGGTTCGGAGGCCCTGAAATGCCGGATAGCGCCAAACCACCCAAATGACCCCTTTCTGGAAAGTAGACAACCCAAGGAATTTAAAAAGAGGCATGGTGAGTATTTTGTAGATCTCATTTTTTCTCACACGGTTTTGAAATATAAAAAAAGAAAAGAAAAAAATATGTTTTGCTTTCTTCATTTTCTAAAAAACTTGTGGCAACAAACGAGATCAGCAAAATACTCACCATGCTTCTTATCATATTCCTTGGGGTGTCTACTTTCCAAAAATAGGTCATTTTGGGGGGTTTGGTGCTATCCTGCATTTCAGGGCCTCCGAAACTGTGATAGGTAGTCAGGAAGTGTAATGAGGAAATAAAGCCCTTTATAAGCCTGAAGGTGCTTATTGGATTTTGGGGTCCTGTACTTGGCTAGACTGCCCAAAACGTCTCTCACATGTGGTACCCCCATAGAAGTAGCAGAATGTATTTTGGGGAGTAATTCCACATATACCCATGGCATGTGTGAGCAATAAATAATTTAAGTGATAATTTTTTTCGTCATTTTTCAAAATCTTGTGGTAAAAAAATAAATTCTTCTATTGACTCAACATGCCTTTCAGCAAATAGTTTGGGGTGTCTACTTTCCAAAAAGGGGCCATTTTGGGGGGTGGGGGCATTTTATGCCCAGCATTAGACGTTTATGCCACTTCTAACCACCTGAAGACCAAGCCTTTTCTGACACTTTTTGTTCACATGAAAAAAATCTGTATTTTTTGCTAGGAAACCCCCAAACATTATATATTTTTTAAAGCAGATACCCTAGTGAATAAAATGGTGGGTGCTGCAATTTTTTATGTCACAGTACTCGCACAGTGATTTTTCAGGCGTAATTTTTTCTTTAAAATATACTTTTTTACTTTTAATGTGCAAAAACACAATATATTGGCCAATCATTTGGTGAAATATAAAAGATGATAGTATGCCGAGTAAATAGATACCAAATATGACATGCTTTAAAACTGTACATGCCCCGTGCAATGGCAACAAACTGCATACATTTTTAATATCCATAGGCAACGTTTTAAAAGCCTTTAGAAGCTACCATTTTAGATTTACAGAGGAGGTCTAGTGCTAGAATTACTGCCCTTGATCTGACGTTCACGGCGATATCTCACAAGCATGGTGCAACCGCTGTTTACATACTGGCATGGGGTCAACGCTCATGCACACGGAGGGGCGAGGTTGCTCTTTTTTTTTATTTTTTTAAGTTATTTTGATTTTTTAAATTATTTTTACACTGTCCCTTTCATATTTTTTTTTAGCACTTTTATGCAAATATGGAATGCAAATATCCCCTATAACTTCAATGGGCTTTGTCATATATTCTTTTTTGAGAAATCTGGGGTCTATCAGACCGTAGATATCTCCTCTGCCCTTACATTATCTAATCAAACCAAGATCAGTGTGATCAGATGCTTTCCCAATTTACAAATGGCGCTGTTTATATCCTGCGAATCTGAAGTGATGAAATGCTCATAGCTCTCTGATTTCTTAGACTATAGAGATGATTGGCACCATTTCGGTCTCCAATCAGCTCTATGGTTAGCTGGCAGTAGCACTGGCTGCATTCTCCGGTTCCCCCGATGGCACAGGACTGCCCGAGAAGGCCGTGGAAGGCAGCGGGGGAAGGGGGCATCTTCTCCCACTGCTTGTAAAAGCAGCTGCAGGCATCATCCTGGTATACCCACTCAAAGTCCAGTGATGTATCAGTACGTCGCTGGTCCTTGTTGGATGTACATGCTATGTTCTTTTATTTTATGCAGCCTGTGGGCTGAATGAAAAAAAGTGAAGAAATATCTGCCAGAAAAAGTGTGTGGTATGCCCACCATTAGAATATACCACCCTGCATCCACCCACTTCTAATGGTGGGCACACATGAAATGTGCCAAAAAATATTATAAAATATATATGCCGAAGTATAGGGGCAATCCAACCACCAGCCGCCCAAGACCCCCATGCTCTTTTTTAACTGCTGATGAAAAATCTCATCCAACAGCGCTGCCCACACTGACTTATGTATATTCTGAGAGTAAATTCCTGTTGCTGTCAGAATAAATGGGTCGGTGCTGCAGCTGAATGGCATTCCTGCAAAGAAAAAAAACAATGGTTAACAATAAAACAGTAAAAGCGTAACAGTAGAACAGTAATGGCAACAAAAACTATTTTTGGTTTTTAAAAATTTTAATTTTTTTTAGGGACTTTTTTTTTACTTTTTTTTTTTTTTAATTTCAACTTTTTAA